GTATGTTAAAATCTATTGTTGGGGTTAGGGTATGACTCAGTGGTGGTGTGCTTTGGATGTATAAGGCTCTGGGTTTGGTTTCTTGCATTTGGTAAGAAAAAAAATCTATTCATATCTATCTTCTTGCATAGAATTATTCAAGAAAATTTTAATTTCATGAGTGTCTTATTTGGTGTAGATATTTATAATGTGTTATTCATTGCTAATTGCAGCTCTCAGCCCTGAGTGGCCTTTAAAATACTGTTTCACCATGGCTATCCCAGCTTTCTTTCCTGTCTTTGCCCATTGCTTTAATTTTAGCCTCTGCAAATCACTTTATTATAGGTGTATCTCTTAGATCTTAGATGGGTTTTGTGTAAAAAGTCAAGTTCTTTTAATGAGTTAAGTCCATTCATCTTTTTATGATTAACATTAATTCTCACTCTTTTGCAATAATTGTATTATGTATCATTTGCTGTGTTATTTTCCCTGTGTGATCTTTGCTTTTTAGAAAATGTGTTTAGAAAAGAAATAAAATCTCTATGCCTAGAAAGGTGGGGGAAAAAAAAAAGAAATAAAATGTGTTTAGGCTGGGTGTGGTGGCATTCACCTTTAGTCCCAGCATCCAGGAAGCAGAGGCAGGCTTCTGAACTCTATGAGTTTAAGGCTAGCCTGGTCTACATAGCAAGTACCAGGCCAGCTGGAGTTACAGGGAGATACTGTCTCAAAAAGACCAAAAAAAAAATGTATTTAGGAGAATTTGCATTTTGTTATAGTGACTATCTTTGGGCTTATATCATTGAGAGATGACCTAGTTCTTTCATTCTTCCCTTCCTGTTTTCTGTTTTTTACTTTTTAACCCAGGCTAGCCTTGAATTCACTATATAGTCAAGGATGATCTGAATTTGCCTTCCTCCATCCTACCCAGCCAATGTTAGGATTATAGGCATGAGTCACCATGCTCAGTTTATTCAGTTTATGAGTTCCTGGGGATTAAAAGGGATTTATGCATGCTAGACAAGCATTCTACCCACTGAGCTACATCCCCAACACTGTGGGTTTTTGTTTTTTGAAACAGGGTCTGTGTAGCCCCAGCTGGCCTTGAACTTGTGATCCTCCTACCTCAGCCTCCTTAGTATGGAGATTATAGGTAGGTGCCACCATACTCAGCCATTTAAACCAGCTTATGCTTTTCATTTTTTTCCACTGTTCATTTATTTTCTAAATTTTGGAACAGAGTCTCATGTAGCTTCACACTCACTATGTGGATGAGGATGATCTTGAACACTTGATCCTTCTGCCTCCACCTCTTTTTAATTTTTTTTTAATGTGTAGGAATGTTTTGCCTACATGTAAGTAATTGCATCATGTGCATGCAATGCCCAAAGGGGCCAGAAGAGAGCATCTTATTCCCTGGAAATGGAGTTATGGACAGTTGTTAGCCATTGTGTGGGTGCTGGGAACTGAACCCAGGTAGTCTACAAGAGCTGCCAAGTGTTCTTAACTGCTGAGCCATCTCTCCAGCCCAGTCTCCACCTCTAAACTGTTGGGATTATGAGCACACACCATGACATCAGATTTTTCCATTTATTTTTAACTTTAGTCTTTGAGTTGAGATTTTCTTCATGTGCAGTTTTGTTTGAGGATAGTTTTGTTTTGCAGTTGTCTGGGGAGTCTCACCAGCTGTGATCTTTTGTTTTCCTTTAATGTCTATTTAGTTTTCATGTCTTTATTTGTAGATCAGGAGTTATTTCTAAGATTCCTAACTCGATTCTACTTGCTCCTATATACTTTTTTATTATTTTTATTTTATGTGTATGAGTGTATTGTCTGCATGTATGTCAATAGGGAATTGGGACTCAAACTGATCTGGCTTCTTCCATGCTGAACAGGGATGTAGGGTGAGGCAATTGGTGTACCCCTTCAGTGGGTAATATTTTTATTTATTTATTATTTATTTTTGTTTTTTTTTTGAGACAGAGTCTCCCTGTAGCCCCCCCAACTGGCCTGGAACTCACTATGTAGATCAAGCTGGTCTTGAGCTCACAGAGATCTGCCTACCTCTGCTGGGATTAAAGGCATATGCCACCACACCTGGCCAAAAAAAAAATTATTTTATGTGTATGCGTGTATTGCTTCCATGTAGGTGAATGTACCCATGTCATGCAATGCCTGAGGACAGAAGAGGCTGTCGGATCCCCTGGAACTGGAATTATGGACAGCTGTTAGCTGCCATGTGGGTGCTGGGATTTGAACCCAGGTCTTCTGCAAACAGCCAGTGTACTTAACTGCTGAGTCATCTCTCCAGCCTCTCCTATATACTTTTCTATCCTCATCCTTACATATGTTTTGGATTACATATACAATTCAGTATACTAAATTGAGGTTTGGGTGTTTCTGTATTCTGGTTATGTTGAAGGTGTGGTTTGGGGTACAAAAGGGGCTGTGACTTGGCCAGGAGTGGAAATGGTGAGAAATGGCTGGAGTTGGGACAACCTTGGCAGGTAGAACCAACAAGATTTGCTATAGGATTGGCTATGTGGGTTGAGGAAATATAAAGGGGTCAAGACTAAATGGGATCGAGGGGAGCTCCTGAGCCCTGCTGTTCTTTCTCAAGGGTTCAAACCAAATGAAAGCAAGCGAGGGGATGCTTGTGAAGGTGACAGTGGGGGACCCTTTGTCATGAAGGTAAGCTTCTCTTAAAGTCAGTGGGCCTGGTGGGTAGATCTTCCAGTGGTAGGGAAAGCTGGGGGAGGGAAACTTTTTTCAGATATAGTAGCCTGGCAGGGTAAGACTGACCCTACCTTGAACCTGACTCTGAAAAACCCTACCTTTCTTCCTCAGAGCCCCTATAACAACCGCTGGTATCAAATGGGCATTGTCTCATGGGGTGAAGGCTGTGACCGGAATGGGAAATATGGTTTCTACACACACGTGTTCCGTCTGAAGAAGTGGATACAGAAGGTCATTGAGCAATTTGGATAGGGGCCACTGTGGGCTCCTCATTGCAAAATCACAGAAACCAGCCAAAATATTTTTGTGGTTTGTTTCTAAAATGGTAGTTCCCAATAAAAGTGACTTTCAATGAACCTCATTTTGCCCAGTGCTATTCATGAGCAACTCTCTGGACAGGGTCTGGAAGAGCCAGTAATATGGCTGGACAGACAGGACTGCAAAGAATCCACTGTCTCCAGCACAGGTGGCTGAGAAGGGAAGGTGGCAGCTGAATTTATGAGCATTTAAAATGTTCCACACGCTAACTTTAATGCTTTATTTCATTTAATCTTCGTAACAGACAGGTGTGATCCTCACAGGTGAGGAAACAGAATTGGAGAAGTAAGTTTCCAAATTTTTACAGAGACGTTGAAACAATGGGGCTGGGGAGATGGCTCAGTGGGTAAAGTGGTTGCAGCTTACCTATTTATATCCCTATAACCCATGGCAAAAGCCAGACACTGAAGCATATGGGTCTGTAATGCCTGTGTGTCCCTAAAGAGAGACTAGAGGCACAGACAGCTGTCTCAGGGCCAGCTAGCCTGGCATATGCAGCAGTGACCAACAAAGAGACACTGACTCAAACAAGTAGGAAGGTGAAGACCAACACCTGAAGTTGTCCTAATCCCTATATGCACACATACAGCCCCCACCCCATGAAGTTAGACAAAACAGATTTAAGTCAGGCTGTGTTTTTGCTCTGTTGACAGGCTTGAAAACAGATTGTTCTAGGACCAGAGGAGAGTCAGGACAGGTAGAATAAGGGGGAAAAGATAGAGCTCTTTCCCTCAGACTTTTCCAGTAACACCCTGCATACCTGAAGTTGTCAAAATGGTACATGTATGCCCCCAAGAGGCTGTGTTTAGAGTGCCTTCATTACAGTGGGAATAGTGGGCAGGGTCACAGGCTCCTCACATGACCTTGTGAGTTCATATTCTGGCTCCAATCTTAGAAGGGATAACCATGGTCAAGTCACTTGACTCCCCTGAGCCCCTTTATATTTTGAGACACTAACAGTGACTCAGAGTTGTAAAGATCATGTGACTTACTGATGTACTGATGTGCTGCTGCTGCCTGGTGAGCTCTCTGAGTCACTGCTACTTGCACTGAAGCATCCAGCCCTGCACATTTAAGGTTTCTTTGCTGGTCATGCCAGGCGTGGTGGTGCATATCTTTAGTCTCAGCACTTGGGAGGCAGAGGCAGGCAGATCTCTGTATGGTAGAGGCCTGGTCTACATAGCAAGTTCCATGCTAGTTGGAGCTATGGGGAAACCCCATAAAAAATAAAACTCCACAAATAATTCAAGTTCCTTTCCTGGTCACTTCTTCCCTGCTCTGGCTTCACAAACTACATAATGGTGTGTATTTCCCAGGACTCTTTTAACACAGCACTTACAGATTAATTCGTTTTTCTAAGAAACAGGGCTAGAGGATATCTAAGTTGATTTGTAAACTTTAGACAACGCTAAGATTGTAAAGATGTCCCATCATAGCACATTATTCAAGGTTATTCAGCTGGTCGCTGGTGTGGGATGAAGCTATACAGTCTTAAAGCATGATTCCTAATAGGGATGTTCATGAGTAAGCAGCCTACAGTGTATGTGACGGGTTTTAGCTGATATTCTGCAGAAGTGTTGAGAAGATTCATTCCCGAACTCTCAAAGCAGGAGTGACGACTGAATGTCTGCTTTAGGTGTAAGCAGGGAGTGGAACTTACCATTTTCAGCTTCTGATCTTCAACCAACATATAGGGTTTAAAGAGGAAGGGATGTCCCTCTTTAACCTCTTCCTCTCATCTTCCTTCTCTCCCCACACCCTGCCCCCCTCTCTTTACAGGGTCTCATTACATAGACAGTCCAGGCTGGTCTCGAACTTGAGATCCTCTTGTATTAGCCTACCATAGGATTAGGATCACAGGCATTCATCACCAAACCTGGTCTTTCATTTTCAATATATAAGGGACCAGCGAATTAGGACAGAATTCCTTGCTTCATTCTGTCCTTTTGGTTGACCAGAAAGCAGGATAAAAACAGGACAAAAGCTCCTAGTGAGATTACAATATCTCAGCCTCCCAGGGCTTTAGGGTAATGGTTGAAAAATGCATTACAAGTTGGGTGTGGTGCTGCATGCCTTTAATCCCAGCACTTGGGAGGCAGAGGCAGGTGGATGGATCTCTGTGAAATCCAGGCCAGCCTGGTCTACATTCCGAGTTCCAGGTCAGCTGAGGTTATAGGGAGACCCTGTCTCAAAAAGCACCCCCCCCAAAAAAAAGGATTGCAATACTCAGAAACAAGGACACACTTCTCACACCTCAATACCACTGTTAGTGTTACAAGCTTTGGGAACTTGGGGTTTTCAAAAAAATGCTGCCAATTCTAGACTTCACTTTCCAAAAATGTTCTTCTGTAGCACTGAACTCCATCTTCCCTGCTATGAACAGTTACTCATTTCCATGTTCCTCTATAATGAAGAAAAGCAAGGTTCATTTCAGGTAGCCTAGGGGCCACTTGAAAACAATAACTGGAACCAACAGAAAATTCATCTGATGAGAAACCAAGAGAAGATTCATTTTCCATCCACCTTTCATTTCTTGGAATGCCAGGTGCGTAGAAGGTAGACCAGAAGGGAAAGTTCTTTTGAGCCGTACGCTTGCCTGGAGTCTCTCCCAGAATCCAGAACCACTTGGGTCCCAATGCAGTTTTCTGATTGTGGAGGAAAGTCCTGTGGAATTTATTCCAGAGGTGAATCTTCAGTTCATATTCTGGTCTTCACTCAGCCCAAGGATGAAGCAATTAGTCTGAACCAAAAGAGACTCAGATAATCAGGTAGGAGAAGACCAAGCTCTCCAAGGTCCATCAAGTGAACCCAATGCAATTGTAGTTTGGGAACTGCTTATAGCCCAAGCCAATGCCTGGACATACTCTCATGTGCTTTTGGACACGGAAGTGGTAGGATGCCCAAAAGCTCCTTGGAACAATGGGAGATGACCAAAGGAAGTCACAAATCAAGACCTCAAAACACGGAGGGATGCACTCTCTGCTCCCCTTGGGTCTGCATGTGAAAAGCAGCAGAGCAAGGCCTGTCCAGAAAGGAGCAACGGCCCCAGTCTCTGAATTAAGAAAAAGACCTCCACATGCCATAACAAACCTTTCTGTATCTGGCTCAATACACAGCTTATGCTTGGACAAGTGACAGAAAGAGTTGCCTAGCACTCCTAGACATGGAGCATCTTGGGAAACAGATATAGTTAATGCAAACTTTATTTATAAAAGACTCTTAAATTAGTTGTCTCATGCCATGCATTCATACAGAATACAGTGTCCCTTTAGGGCTATAGAGGAAGCGCTCACAACTCAAAAGGAACTATTGAAGAGTTTCTAATGGTTAAAAGCTAGGAAAGATTAGGACAATTTTACAAATGAGCCATTAAAACAAAAGAAAAAAAGATATGGAACCTAGTTTGAGTTGAGGGGGCAGCTGTTTATAAGTCTGTACACTAACCTAATCCACAGTCAGTCTTCTAGAGGCAGTGCTGACAGGGAGAGGCAGAGCACATGTAGACTTGTGCTACCACCGCTCCTTCCCCATCTGCAGTCCGATACACACAACCAGTTTGTATACTCTAGGCCTGCTGGGGCCACTTCATACTATAGAACTTCTAAATTAGTAAACTAAAGCTGCAGGGTGCTAAGGGATGGGCAGCTTCATTTGCGACTGCTCTTTATTCTCTCCAGTCTCTTTTTCAAGTCATCAATGTTAGTCGTGGAGGAGGAGGAAGAGGTCACAGTTCCTGCAGAGTGGGTCTGGTTGGAATCCAGGTCTGAGTGCTGGTGCTGTTCCCGGGATTCCCGAAGCTGGGAGAGCTTACTGTGGAGCATGTCTGTGGAAGAGGCGACTGGAGGAATTGCTGGTTTGGAGAGCAAAGAGGTCAGTGGAGGTCGGTCATCTTGCTATTGAGAGAATAAGAGAGACATTGCCTAAGTTCCAGGAAGGCAGGTCAAGACACAACCTAGCAGGGAGGCACACCAAGACTCAGCCACTTCTCTGTAGACCAGCCTATTCCTGACCTGCTTGCCACTGCTTTCCAGACCCACAGAAGGAAAGGAGCAGTACCTTTGTGTTGTCGAGACCACATCGCTGTCGGAGGATTTTTAGCCTTTCTAGGTAGACAGATGGTCCCACTTCTTCTCCATTTGTGTTACCTAGAGAGGACACTGTGCTTGTGGGAGTAGGTACACATGTTACCTCCATCTGAGGGGAGATGCCTAGAGAGAAAAATATAAGCAGACTATTCAGATATCCATATACCCCACCTTCCAGAATGGTTTGGTGAATCTGCTACCAAATAGAGCTAAGAATTTCTAGGGCTCAGTGGTACAGCATGTATTTAGCATACACAAGTCTCTAGGTTTAATACTTAGCAACCACAACAGAAAAATCCCCAAGGGTATATTTCCACTGTACTTGAAAACTAAAAATTTCACAGGAATCTACCTGGAGTTGGTAATAGGGACTGGTCTCAAATATGCAAGATTAACTGTGGGAATTTTTAAGAATTGACACAGAAGGTGTATGTATGTGTGTGTGGGGTATTCTAGCAATCACAGGGCTGACATGGGCAATCCAAATCCCTTAAGCTATTAGTAAGCGAATGATAATCAAAAATCTTGATGACATAGAAGAGTCGGATTGTTTGGGCTGGGTGACACAGAGGGAAAGCTCCTCTTCAAATCTGTGAAGGACAGCAAAGAGTTCAAGGGATAGACACTAAAGTATCTGTAATCCCAACATTAAAGTCAATATTCTCAGAGGAGAAGGAAAAATTTAAGAAGAAAACAACAGAACAATTTACTTTAGTTCTTAGATTCCTAACAGGGAACAGCCATAAAATTCAACACTGAAAAGATCTGACTTGGGGGCTGGGGAGATAGCTCAGCTGGTAAAATATTTGCTGTGCAAGCATGAGGACCAAAGTTTGGATTTCTAGAACCTAAATAAATGCTAGGTAGGTATGGTGGCCTCCTGAAAACCTAGTATGTGGGAGGGAGGCAGAGACAGAGGAATCTCTGGAATAAGCTGGCTAGCTAAACTAGCTGAATC